ACAGGCAGGATGTGAAACAGAGCCAAGAGTCTCCCATTCAGCGCTCCTTCCCCTGACCCTGCTCTGAGCACCAAAGAAGGTGGCACATGAGGGACACGCTCAGAAGCTCTTTCTGTTCTGAGGACCATCAAAAACGTCACAAGAGACCTTGTGACCCTGCTACACGCTCATCCCTGAGTCGTTCATTCCCACGGTGAACTCTCCTCTGCATCTAATCTAATCTGTGGCCAGCTCCGCAACAGCTCTGGTGTGTAGAGATCTCCAAGACACGAGGAGCCCAGGAAGGCAGGGACGGTGTTCTTGTTACGCACGGTGACAAGGCCTAGCCTCCCAGCACAGGTACAACCAGACATCTGCTGAAGGACGAGTGGAAGCTCACCAGCGAAGGAGGCTACTTAAACACACCCAGGATGAAAAAAATCCCTTAAAACAAAATCCCTACAGGTAATGATGCAGATCCCACAGTCTGATCTCTATGAACATTCTGCAAAAACAATGAGATGTTAGAAGTTTCAGAATTTGTCTTCATGTTCTCCTTTTCCCCAGACAAGAAACACTGTCTGCTTTGCATTCAAACTACAGCAGAAACCATTCCTTAGCAGGAACTGTGTGATTTTAATGCACGGGCGAATTTCAATTAGACATTCATCTGCCAATGCTGATGTGCTTTAAAGTTAACCCTAAATTACAGTCCTTTCAAACAACTGTGCTCTCCCCTCGGCTTCTCCCTCTTCAATTTTGGTCTGGTTTTGTGAAAGGGCTGCTGGTAAAAATGAGGCAATACCAGTAACTTATCTACAAATTACGGGAAGGAGAAAGTAGGTTAAAAAAGACCAAGAAACTTCAAACAAGTCTGATCAAACCACATCCTAGTCAGACAGGAAACAATAGGAGACTGTTCTCACTCACAGGGAAGGAAGACAGGTCTGACTGTGACTACTGTCCAACAAGTCACATCCAAGAGTCACCTTGCACTCTTCCTGAATTTCAGCTGTGGTTGCCAGACTATAATAAGCTCCTGTTTCGCACATGGGAACAGCAGTAACCGGAAGTTGGAAGCTGGCATTTCATCTGGCTGGCCGCTCTTGCCCTCATCACATTTTCCACTCATGCAGCTACCACAACGAGTGGCTGTGTCCCACAGGCAGTCTGTGTGTCTACTATGATGGCGATGGGACCTGCACACCCGAGCTGGCTCTCTGGAGCCAGAGCAGACCTCCTCCTCACTCCCTCTGCTCAGAGGACTCAGTGAGAGTGCACGTCCTAAGTTAAGAGGCCATGCTGTGTTGTTGTTGGGTGCCAGCGGGTCGATTCCATCTCCGCGACCCCATGGGACAGAGCAGAACTGCCCCATTGCGTTTTCTAGACTGTCATCTTGACAGGAGCAGGTCACCAGGTCTTTCTCCCATGGAGCTGCTGGGTAGGTTTTTTTTTGTTTTTTTTTTTTTAATTAAGATTTGGGTGAAGATTTACAGAGTAAATTCACTTTTCATACAGCAGTTCACATATACTTTGTCTCATGTCATTGACCAAAATTTACAATGCAGCAGCTCCCCTCCCACTTCCTCCCCATAGTTACCTCCTCCCAGTGTCCGTCCCTTCATACTCTTCTGCACCCTGAGCTATCTCCCTGTGCATAAGCAGCCCTTCCTTCTCCCATGATTGTTCTCTTCCAGGGCGTGTGTCTACTTGAGGTAAATGTTTAACTCACATGCCTGTACTTTGTTTGGCTGGAAACCACAGGTGCGGGTTCAATTCCAGACCTGAAGGGCAGCTAGGGGCCATAGTCTCAGGGTTACACCAGGCTCTATTGGACCAGCAAACCTGGTCGCTGGGTAGGTTTGAACTACCAACCTTTTGGTTAGCAGTTGAGCATGTAATTGTTGTACCATCAGAGGCCAATGTAACTTTCTGCAACTTGCTTTTACCACAACAGTGAAGCCCATGTATCAATGTCCATGTCTTGACGTGATACTGTCCTGCAGCTTTGCAAGAAGTTGCCACCAAGAGAAATGGGCACAGGGCACATGGGACCTCTGCACTGTTCTAACCATGGCACACACATCTACAATCATCTCAGTAATAAAATCTCAATTAAAAAAATTGGAAACCCCAGAGCCCTAAGGGTATCTGGGTTTACTTCTGGGACACCAAGACTAACTTCAGTGCTAGAGTGAGTGTCCTATGGGAACACATTCCTCAACATCCTTAGAAGCTATCTTGGGTTCTTGAGAAATCATGCCACAAAAGTCCAAAGGGACCCAAGACATCACAGGTTGTTGTTGTTATAAACATAGTATAAAGACCCTGGTGGTGCGATGGTTAAGCACTTGGCTGCTATGTGAAAGGTCGGTGGTTCAAATCCATTCAAGGCTTTGTGCAGAAAGATCTAGCGATCTGCTCCTGTGACAGTTGCAGAACCCGATGGGGCAGTTCTGCCCTCACTCCAGGGCTCGATGAGTCAAAAACTGCCTTGACAATGGTGCCACCAACTGCAGCAAAAGTCAGCAGCAGCTGGGGAGGGTGGGGTTAATTTAACAGCGAGCAAAGGCCTTGGCTGAAGAGGACTCCTCTGTGAAGCTACCTGCAGAATCCTGTGCGCCGCGGGTGCCAGAACTGCCACCCGTGCAAGAGAGCTTGCAAAGTGGGACTTTCATGTCAAACTTCCTAAACTTTCAATGTTGACAACTCACATAATTTACTCTTATGAACTGTACAGAAAACCCAAGAGAGCCAGACTGCAACTTGCCAAGCCCTTTAACCCTTTCATGACAGAATTATTTTCTGCTTTAAATTTTTGTTGATACCATGTGTTTTCAGTAATGGGGGGCAGGGGGGACCCATTGCCATCGAGTTGCTTCTCACTCATAGCAACCCCCCCATAGGGTTTCCAAGGCTACAAATCTTTATGAAAACAGACTGCCTCACCTTTCTCCTGCAAAGCAACTGGTGGGTTAGAACCACAGATCTTTTGGTTAGCAGCCAAATGTCTTAACCACTACACCACTAGAGCTCCTTATTTGATACTGTTAGTGGGATATATATGTCCCAAGTGGACTCCGGTGGTAGGACTGGTGTGATGAGACCTGTTTCTTCAAATTCATGCCCGCTAGGACTACGACCAGGATAGCAGGTTCCCAAGAAACCCGACAGGCTGGAAATGTGGGTGACACACGTTGCATGGGTCATGAAAAAGTTGAATACATTTTCTTCCCATCTTCACCCATAAGGTACCCATGGTCACCCAGCAGGAGGGGAGCTCTGTGGCTGAGACTGGGAGGTCTTGATGATTCTGTTGAGTCATCTTTCCCTCCTCGCATTCATTCAGAACAAGCTAGTCCACAGCATTGCAGGGAAGTATATCCAGCTCCATAAACACTGACTCAACTACATGTTTCCCATCATAAGGGGAGGTCTTTCCTGGTCAACACGTGCCACCACCCATGGTCAGCCCCAGGTGAAATCCACATACCAGCCATGGCTCCTTCCCTTCATTTGTGTGTCTGATCAGTGTCTAGCTCTCTTACTACACTAGAATGCTCCAGTGCAACAAACACTTTATATTTTTGTAGATCCCCAGAACCTGCACCATGCCTGGCCCAGAGAAAGGGCTTCAGAAACACCTGCTGAATGAAATCAGTAAAGGGATAGGCCAGACAGGACCATGAAAGGGCCCCATTCAATTCAGCTGAACCAATGCCACAACCACCAAAGCCAGAAAGTTCCTGGGAACCTTTTCAGGGATGCTAATGCTCCCCTGAATGAGAAAACGGGCCAGCCAAACCATTATACACTGAAAATCCAGAAGGGCAGGAGCCTCCGTAATTGTACTCCACAGTCGTGGCCTCTCAGGCAAGAGGATCACGTTCCATCGGCTTCTTCCGATCTGGTAACAGAGCCAACTGCCCCGGGCAAGCCAGCGGTTTCACCTATGTGGGTCTGCCAGGGAACCTGGCTGCAAAGTTAGAACACTCATGAAACAGCCTTCGTGTAAGCATGCTACACTGCTCTCAAACATGCAAGTCAAGTCCGTGCTGTGGCAAATAGAATGACAGACAAGGGGCCCAACAGACAAGCCGCCTGCCACAAGGAACTCAGGGTGAGTACGCTCTTGAACAAGAAAAAAACAGGCTGTGGGTACAGAGTTATGGAGGCAGAAACACAGGCAGCTGGAATAGTACTGAGGTGGTCTGCGGCACAGGACACATGTACGGGATGGTAGGAGGGGAAACAGAAGAGATACAGGTATGGTCAAGCTGGGCCAGCCTCCCAAGAATTCATCACACTGGTCATCAGGTGTTTCCTTTAGTGATGTACAAGGTGTCGCTGTGAGGCTTCTGCAGACTACAAGCATGCTGTGCTTAGACCAGAGTTCTATGAGAATTTAAAAACTGGGGGTTTTTACATAAGACTGCAAATTTCCTTCTCTGGCAACAAGAGAAGACCTGGCAATTCTTCATCCATATTCCTACAGAGTGCAGGCCAGGGTGGAAAAGCTCCCTGACGAGGTGTATTGGTGAGTCCAATTTGCCACAGTCCCCACCACTCCCTACTGTCTCACACAGGCCTGCTTCATTCACAGATATTCCCTGCCCAGCCTCTGTGCTGTAGGGTTTACCAAGTACCTTCCCACACACTCCCTTTTTCTGACCCAGTATCAGTGTCTCCGAGATACACGATCTGAGGCCTGGGGTGGTATGATTCCACGTTCAATGATATACAATCAATCAAATCCATTATTAGGACCTAATCCCAGACATTCCTGGGTACAGATTTCAAGACTCTGATTAAAAGCCAGTTGAGTTGATCCCACTCCGGCGACCCCACGTGTGTCAGAGCAGAACCGTGCTCCACGGGGTTTCCAGAGGCCGAGCGGCTAATGCCCCATCACTGCTGCACGAGCAGCGTGTTGGTTTCTAATGTCAGAGACACACACACATTGACAAAACGAGTGAGGGCTTCTCATCAGTCAGGAAACGGTCCCAAGGCTAAGGACTTACGGAACTTCTCTGGACGTCCTGCTCAGTCTTTGCGTGCATCTCAGACGGATCACCATTCAGAATGACCTCCGCTAAGGAGTTTACCAGGGGTGCATGATGGATAATCAAGAAGACCTGGTGAAGAGAAGAAATGGGACTTGCATTAAAGGGTGCAGCCTGTCAACCTCTCCCTTCCTCGATGTGAAACAGAGCTGGGCTGCACACGTCCTGTGTCAGGCAGCAGTCACTGTGACATAAGACCCCAGGCACGGGCCACATTTAGAAGAAATGGTTGCTGCTCTCTCCCGAGGTTCATCCCGTCTGCAGACAGTTGCTCATTTGGCCCGCTGCTCTGCACCGGAAGGAAGCACACTGAAGCGAGACCATCCCTCCTGGCTGCCTGAAGCCAAATCCCACTGAAACGGAGCAATGTGGGGAAGGAACAGCCAAACCAGCACGCTCCTTCCTTTCCACAGGCATTTTCGTGTCAAATTCAATTATGGTAAGACCAGAAGGCACCATCTCAAACCGCAGTTATACGGGAACAGGGGTGGGCAGCCCAATTCTGATCAAGGACTTGGCAAAGCATGGGCTCTAGGGATGCCATCACTGGAATGGGCTCTGCCTCTGTGGTAGGTTTCAGCATGCCAGGTCTCACGGCCGCTGGGAAAGGTACGTGACTGTGGGGAGGAAAAGCCACACATGCTGGAAACAGGCCCAGTCAGGCCAGCACGCACAATCAGAAGGCACTGGGCTGTGTGGGACGGCTGGCCACACCACCCTATTGCCCAATATCTAGAGACACGGCTTCAGGAAGCAGGGCATACAAAACCGGCCTGCGAGCTGGCTTAGATACACCTGCTGTTTGTTTTAAACCATAAAGGTGGGGCGGTGTACAGCAGTGTGTCGTGTATCAACCATTTGTATATGAGTAGGGTGTGTGCACATCTGTACACTTCGTATTTGCTTCTCTCTGCCCAGAACAAGCTTTCTCAACCGTGGCACTGTGGCACGCTGGGCCGGGTCACGCTCTGTGGTGGGGCCTCCTGCGCACCGCAGCACACTCAGCGGCACCCCAGGCCTCCTCCCCCAGCTGTCAGCCCACGTCATCTCCACACACAGCCCCAAGGCCCCTGGGGGGTGAAGTCGCCCCCTAGTTGAGAAGCACAGGCACAGAACATGTCTGGAAGGACACCCAAGAAACCTGGACGTGCATCATCTCTGGGGCAAGAGCTAGTGCTGACCGTGATTGGGGAGGAAAGTGCATTTTCACCTGTCAACTCCTGGCATTAAAATCATTCTCTATTGGGAAAAAAAAAAAAAGGACCAGGTTTGCTGGTCTGATAGAGCCTGGTGGAACCACTGAGACTATGGCCCCTAGCTGCCCTCCAGGTCTGGAATTGAACTCACTAATGTGGCTTCCAGCCAAACAAAAGACATATGAGGTGAACATTTACACTAGGTAGATACACTCCTTGGAGAGAACAATCATTGGAGAATAGAAGGGCTTTGTATGCACAGGGATATAGCTCAGGGGGCAGGAGCGCATGGAGGTAAGGACATAGCGAAGAGGTAACTATGGGGAGGAAGTGGGAGGGGAGCTGTTGCATTGTGGTAAATTGTAGTCAATGTCATGAGACAACGTGTATGTAAACTGCTGTATAGAAAGTGAATTTGCTCTGTAAACTTTCACCCAAATCACAAAAAAAAAAAAAAAAAAAAGGCCAAAGGAAAAAATAATTTTCTAGTAACAACAACAAAAATGTCTTATTGTTAAAAGAAAGTAAAGGCAGAAACAGGTGACACTGGTCACCTCTGTGTAGCGGCAGGGAAGAGGGACACTCCCCTGTCACTCTGCACCATCTGAATAGGGTGACCACATGTTCAAAAATCAAGCACAGGTTGGAGTCAATAAAAAGGTGCTCGAAGAAAAGCCCACCGTGGTATCTACCTAAGCAAAGCACAGCTGGATTTCAAGGCCCAGGGAGACCCACCCACGACAGCAGAGGAGTGAGCCACGGTCAGGCAGGTGCTCAGGTGAGGATGGTGATGACCTTCATCATGCCGGAATCTCCGCCACATGTCACCCGACCACAAAACCAAACCCTAAATCACAGAGCCCAGTTGTTCCACAAGGAGCTACGGTGGTATAGTGGTTAAAGCTTTCGGCTGCTAACCAAAAGGCTGGTGGTTTGAACCCCCCCAGCCACTCCATGGAAGAATGATGAGGGAGTCTGTTTCTATAAAGAATCACAGCCTTGGAAACCCTATGGGGGTAGCTATGAGTCGGAATCGACTCAGTGGCAGTGAGTTTGGCTTTTGAGTTTTATTCATTCCACAAATGTTTACTCTGCACCTTGCAGGAACACTGCCTTCATTGATCATTTATTCACATTTTAATTCAGTCCATAAGCATTCAGAGAGCACCTACGGAGGCCCCGCAGGCGGAGGTGAGTCACGCCTGCAGCCACACACCGCGCTTGGTCACGGTCTCTGAGCAGAGACCAGTGGTGGGAGGGTGTGGCCCCAGCGTGGCGCGTGGAAATGTGTGCAGGGCACACCGCCTACCTCATTCTCATGGCTGCAGCCGTCTGATTTCAGCAGGACAGCGCCACCTGTCTCACTAAAGTGATGATGTTAATGTGAATTTGGTCGTTTTGGTAGCTGTGCTTGTAACATAACTTGTTCGTATGTTTCATTTCATGGTGGTGTAGGGACATGTAGAGGAGGTCTGGTGGCGCAGTGCCTAAGGCACTGGACTACTAACTAGACGGCTGGCGACTGAAACCCACCAGCCACTCCTCAGAAGGAAGATTGGGCAATCCACTTCCATAGTGATACCGCCTCGGAAACCCAAGGAGGGGTCGCTATGAGTCAGGTCCGACTCAACGGCAGTGAGTTTGGTTTGGTTTTTTTAGGGACTCACAGGGGTTTTAAGGACAAAGGATTTACACCCGATTTTGGGTTTCCATACATTTAGGCTTCATGATAGTAAAACTAAACAGAAATGTGGGGGGGATGGAGTGTAGCTGTTTTATATTTAAAGGGGGGCCATTACTCTAGTTTGAGGACTGTCGACTTCCAAGCTAGTTCCAGAGAAACACTGAGACCTGTAACTGGAGCCGGAGCTGCTGGAGTCTCAGGGAGCAAACAGAGAGAAGACTTCTCTCAATGACAGGCCCTGTCCCCTCCCCTCGAGTGCCGGCATGGGGTCTGCCAGCCGTGCTCCTGGGGGAGCCCTGGCCCCTGCAATGCTCAGGGGCTGAAAGGGTCCAGAGAATGCCACCACAGGACTCCTATGGTCACACACAGCTGACCTGCCCAGTCCTGCCAGACCCCCAAAATCCTGAGGCGGGGATGCCGGCGGACTCGTGAGGAGGCGGCAGACAAAGCTGCCAGGAGAAGCTGTGGTTTGTGCTGAGCTCCACTGCACAGAGGGGCATTTGGACAGCGCCCACGCGGGGCTGAGCCCAGAGCCAACAGTGCTCAGAGCAAGACTGGGGATGTGAACAGAGACCAGGCCCCTCCGTCCCCGGGTGGCCTACCCACTGGGAGGAGCTGTGGCGGGATCTCTCCTCGCAGGCTGACAGGAGACAGCCCCACCTGGACTAGAGCCTGTCCAGGGATCGAGTGAGGAAAGACTGCCCGGGTCAAAGCACACAAATACCTGGGCCATCAAAAAAGTGGAAACAGAGCTCTGCTCAAACGTCTGACGACTGACAGGCTAACGAGATGGCTCGGGAGTCTGGACGGCTCGCAATAAAAATATTTTTACGGTTATGTAACTGGGTCGCCATGGAGTTTTTCCCTTCTTGTAAATATTGCATAATTATGAGCAGGAAGCACGCTTGTTTAAGCGGGGGAGGGAGACGAACTGGCTCAGGACACAGAGCTGGGAGCTGAGGCTGCGACAGAGCCCCTTCCAGAAGGTAAGATGGGAACGAGAGCCACAACAAGAGCCCTACAAGAGCAGCCTGCTTGACGGGGGCGTATGGAACCGAGCTGCTGGGGGTGTGACCCCTGCACACAGGGCCACTGCAATTCCAGGCTGATTCCAACATGCCGTCACACCCCCACAGCCGCATCTCCCAGGTACTTGCTGGACACATCCTCATCACTCTGGGAACCTTGGGGCATGGTACAAACAAGTGCTCAGGTGCCAGCTCGGGTTTCTTTTCCCGTTTCATTTCTCCTTGAACTTCCGCCCACTGTCATGAAGAGGATACAGACAGACCACCTCTACTTGGGGTCCAGGAAATAGAAACTCCCTTTTCTGTTTATTGTCTTACTTCCAGCTGCGGGGCACAGGGAGAGCAGATGGGGCGACATGGCCTGGAGAGGCGGCTACCTCTAAGGAACCTCCACATGTGGACACAGGTGAGGCATCAACATACCTGGGAGAGAAGATAGAGTGACACCGGCAGGCTGATTTTCGGGCGTTCTCCTCCCTGGGGAAGGTGGAAAGAAAGAGAACAAGGACGCTATCAGGCAAGTGAGTGACACAAAACACATGAAGCCAGAAGGTCTGTACCAACAAGGGGCTCCCTGTCCCCAGCTTCCTGTGCCCCCGGGCCTCCATTCCCTGGTACAAAAGTCCACTCTGCAAATGGAACTCGCTACCACGTGCCACGGAAAACCATCTGCAAGGCCACTGCTTTCCCCTTGAGAACTCTTTCATCATTAGCCACAGACGAAAGGCTGGGCCCGAGAGAAAGACTTGCTCCTTCAGTTACCGAGAATGCTGACTTCCCCCAGCTGAGGGGCACAGGGGCCCCCGGGGGCCTGTTCTCAGGAAGGGCTTTCAAAACATGAGGCCAGGAAAAGGCTGGGGCCCTCTGGCCTCATCTGTACTGAGCGTCAAAGTGCCCCATCTCACACCAACCCTGGGAGGGCTTTAGGACTGACGTTTTGCAGCCTCATTCTACAACAGGCTCAGAGGGGTTAACTGCCTTATCCACGGTCACACAGGTAGGCAAGAAAAGGCACAATTTGAACCCAGGTCTGAGGACTCCAATTCTCCTGCTTAGCAACACCCTCTGGAGCTGCCTCCTGGAGATGTCATTAGGGCTGTCATTTTCTTTCTTTACAGACCTATTTTTAGTGAGAACTCCCATGTCTCACCTCCATAAAGAAACTACAGCCCACGGGACACAGATGCAGAGGCCAAAGCCCCCACACAGGAAGGTGCTGGCTCTGCCCCACCCTCCCCTGGGAGCCTCACTCTCGTTCTCTGACCCCTTGCCCAAGAGACAGTGGGCAGAAGGGCTCCCCGCCCTACCATAGCAATTCGCAGTGGAACCCAGAACCACCAGCTCCAAATCACCTGGGGGGAAATTAGTGGCTTAGTCCCACGCCAGTCCCGCTGAACCAGATCTTTGAGGGGACAGAGGGGCCCTGTGGGTATACACAGCACCCCCAAAATACTCAAGCTCAAGTGCACCATCGGTGCCCCGCGTCTGCTTCCGTACGTGCACAGTCTCTGAGCAAGTCTGATCGCTGGCTGTCTGGACCTTCTCCAAGTCAATTAGCTCTGGCAGCATCAGGAAAGTTACCGGGACGGAAACACTTCAAGGGAAGGGCACACAGAAACCAGAAACCCAAATTCATAGAGGCTTCCTGTTTCCTTCTGATGCCTAGTCGCCTTTCCTCATTCACATTTATAGCCTATGCACACATTCTCTCTCTCTTTCTCTCTCCCTTACAAACACTCACACACACTCTCTCTCACATACTCTCTCTCTCTCACCCACTCACTCACTGGTGCAGGAAACAAGAGGAAAGGGAATCCAATGAGCTTTGGAAGGAAGCTATAAAGCTCAGTCTTCTTTCTGACCGTTGCTTTCCCAGCCCACACCTGGTCCCTCCTTGGGAGCAGCAGGCCCACCTTGTCCTGGTTCTCCAGCGAGTACACATATAGCGGCAGGAAGAGCCTGTTGAGCAGGTGGTCCGTGAGCACGTCATTGAGGAACTCGCAGTTGATGATGAGAATGTCGTTCAGGTAGTGCAGGTGGTCCAGGTGCTCAGCCACCAGGTCACTCAGCTTCCCTCGATTCCGGTGCCTGAGCACAGAAACACCCTCAGCCAGAAGCCAAAGCCCAGAGCACTCAGGCCAAAAATCAAGGCCCTGGGACTCAGGTCACCAGGGGCACGTTCACTCAACCAGCCAATGCTGAGCCAGTCTCAAGGCACCTGCCCTGGCCCCTGCTGGTGGGAGACACAGAGAAAAAATGGGCAGGGCCCCTGCCACTGAGTTCAGGGGCCTCATGGGGCCCCATCTAGAGAGACCTCAGTACACTCACCCCACCACCACCACAAGGGGGTATGTAGAACAAAAAGCAGCAAGTGGCTCTCAGCAAACTGCTCCCCAAAAGGAGGCACAAGCCAGTGTGGCAAGGTCCCCCAGCTTCCAAGAGAAGCGATATTAACAGAGCTATCAGTCCTTGCTGATCGAAATGCTCCAGAGCTGTTCTGAAGAGAAGAGCAGGCCTTGGCAGCTACGTCCCTCCCACTGGCCTCAACCACATGTAAGGCTTGGGCAAGCATGACACCCCCCGGTGCAGACCCTGCCTCAAGGGCTTCTGTCTCCTTGCACCTCAGCAGTGGCATGCCAGGTGGGCTCCTCGTGTGGAATCTGTCTCATACCTCGAAAGCACAGACCCTCAAACGTCAGTGGTCACACTTGCCCCACCCCCAGCTCTGTATCTCTCGCAAAGAACCATCAAGCGATGGTGAAAGTGTTCGTGTTATCATTACTCTTGCTGTAGTACTAGACGGTCACTTTAGAGAAAAGAAAATTCAAGAATGAAAACCAAAAGGAAAAAGCCTGCTACAATCCCATGACTGATGGGTACCCGCCGAGAACATTTTGGCTCTTAGGACCCTACAGTTTTCACATATTTATAGTTCCTCTCTATACCAAGAAAACAAACCCACTTCTGACTCATAGCAACCTTATAGGACAGAGTAGAATTGCCCAAATGGTTTCCTAGGCTGCAGATCTTTACAGAAACAGACTGCCTTGTCTTTTTCCCATGGAGCAGCTGGTGGATTCAAACTGCTAACCTTACAGTCTGTGGCTGAGCACTTGACCGCTGCACCACCAGGGCTTCCCCAACCTCAAGAGCTGTAAGTCATTGGTGCTGACAGAGCCAACAGGGGACTAGGGTTTCACTTCCTTCCTTGTAGGAGAATCTCTTTCTGGAGCTCTGTGCCTTGGGATGCCCCACGGCCATGACTGGCCACAGCCTCAGTGTCCTGTCAGCTCTACCGTCCACCCACCCTCACTCCTCTCCCCACAGCAGGTCGGATCCTCTGTCCATCCCCACCACCACCTCCAGGAGACCTCCCTCCTGGGTCCCTCCACCATCCTGGCCCCGTCCAGGTGTGCTCTCATCAGGCCTGTGCAGAGTGTCGCACAGGGGCAGGACTTCCCAACCGGGGCCCACACTGCCCTCCGGGGACATCTGCCCACGTAGGGGCTATTTCTGGTTGTCACAGCTGAGGGTGAGAGGCTGCTACTGGCATCCAGCGGGTAGTGGCCAGGGATGCTGTTCAACCTCCTGTAATGCACAGGACAGCCCCAGACCACAGGACCACCCAGCCCAAGATGTCAACAGTGCCAAGGCCGAGAAACACTACTCTAGGGTTTGTAATCTCCACTCTGGGGACAAACTCACCATCCTCATCTTCCCCCTAACAGATAAAATCTGTTGTGCTATCACTCATGACTTATCACATGCACAGAGTTGCCCACCATCCCACAGGCAAGTTGAGAACATCCTCAGCACCCCACTGCTTGCCGTCCCTCCATCTCCCCAGGCTCCAGGCACCAACCACTGACTGACTCTCTGTCTCTGCAGGTCTTCCTATTCTGGACGCTCCCCAAAAACAGAAGCAGGACCTGTGTCTGGCTTCTTCCCTTAGCAGGTTTCCTGGGCCTGTCCGTGCCATAGCAGGTGTCAGTACTCCACTTCTTTTCATGGACAAACAATATTCCACGTGTGGATAGCCCGTGTTTTTTTTTTATCCTTTCCTCAGTTAATGGATCATCTTAATTGTTTTACCAACCGCCTACCAATGGGTCGGTTTGAACCCACCAGCCGCTTCACAGGAGGAAGATGAGGCAGTCTGCTTCTGTGGAGATGACAGCCTTGGACACCCTATGGGATAGTTCTACTCTGTCCAACAGGATCACTATGAGTTGGAATGGACTCAACAGCAATGGGTTTGGTTTGGTTTGGTTTTAGGAATGGGGACACCATCCACGGGTGTGCCAGTTATAGACCTGCATCCCTTCTGGAGACACTCAAGTTGATTCCAACTCCCCACTGTTATAAACAGGTGGGTATGACCTTTTAGTGTGTGAGGTCCACACTCAGCCTCCAGACAGGTGGGTAAGTTTTGTTCTATTGTGAGTATTTCTTCACTGTAAACGACTCCTCCGCTAACCTAGTGTCTACCTCCTGAGCAGAGGAAAGGGCACTCACTCCTCATCCGTCTGCACACAGTTGTCCAGTTCGATCACGTGGCTCCCGATGAACCAAACCAAGTTGGAGAAGTAAGGGACGGCGGTTTTATCTCTGATGTAGTGCAGCATGGGCTGGTTATCCACTGAGGGCATCCACGAAGGAAAAACACATCAGTCAGCTACCAAAACCACCAGGGGACTTTAAAAACCACAAGGAAAAAGCCCTCCGATCACCCTGAATCCTTCCCATCTTTCCTGGAAAGACTTCAAAATGTTTATCTTATTCACAAAGGTGCACTTATCAAGGCAGTTCTGACGCTGTTTTTATAATTAACAAAATACCTGAACTGGGCTAAACGTTAACAGTGCACTAAAGAGCCTACGATAAGAACGACACTGTTCTCAAGCGAGTTTCCTGTATCTACATGTAAGGCTAAGTCAAGAAAGCAGAAAACCAGAGGTTAATAACTTACATGACACTGGAATAAGGAACACAGGAATCGTCATTGAAGGAAAGGCAAAAAACAGACAACAGTTAACAGGGTTAGGAACTGAGATGGTGAGAGGTGCTCAGAGGGACAGAGAGCAAGGGCAGGAGGCATCTAAACAGAAAGACAAGAGTTAGGAGAGAGCAGGAGGACACAGCGGGCAGGAGGAACTGAACCTCAGCAGGGCCAGGCTCGCAATCTCAGAAGCCTGCAGGCTGGCTAAGGACTCAATGCATGAAGCTGGCAGGCCCGGTGTGTGAACTGGGGAGCCAGAGCCTGGACCCCAAAGCGGGCAGCTATTAGGCACCAGCAGGCCACTGCCCTGCAGGACTGTGGGGGGGCAGGGCGGCCATAACCAGACACTTGCAAGTCAGCAACCCAGATTCTTAGGTAACCTCTCCCAACTTGAAAATACTGGCAACTATACTTTTTGCCCAAAAAACCCATCTAAGCCAATTACAACGTCTGAGATCCATACTGGGCCACCAAGCCCTAAGTTTCCGACCACTGGGTGGGCTCCAAGAAAGACTCGGAAATGCCACCCTATCCCAGAACCTGACTGCAGTGAACCCCCACCCCAGTGGGGGAGGCCTCAAGTAATAACAGCCCCACAGGTGATGGTCAGAGGCTGGCGATCCTGGAGAACACGGAGCCCAGTGTGGCGACCACAGTGAACATAAGGCCAGTGTTGCAGGAAACTCTCACGGCGCTGCTCCTAGCTGGGAAACTTGTATCCCATCAGCCTCTGGGCTCGCACAGGCAAGGAGCTGCCAGAGGGTTTTCTCCTGGAGCCAACGTTTTGGGGATTAAGTACCTCCGGAAAGACAGGAGGAATGTGTTAATGCCGGGCTTTGCAGCTCATGGAGAATGCAATACTGCCCCCTGCTGTTTGTGATGTCAAGTGCCAGCGTGGAAGTATATTTTACAAGTCAAAATCTAACATTTAAGAGACAGCTTTGCTTTATCTGACCACAGTGAACTTGTGAGGGTGGGAACTCGATGGAACCAGCTTGTTTTTCCAGGTCTCCAAAGTTTTCCACCTCTGACAGGGTGCAGTCTGACCACTTCCTGCAGCTTGTTTGAGTGGAAAATATTTGCCTTTGCCTTTTCTGACAGGTTTCCGCCACACATAGTTCCGCCTTTCACAGGTTTCACTATATAACATGCACTCCAAACCCACAAGCTCCTCTCACAGGACATCACTTCCACCAGAACTTAGAAGAGTTTAACATGCATCTACCTCACGTGGTATAAACACACGTGAAGGGCCGGCTACACGCTCGTCGGTTACAAGCCTCTCAGGAGACAAGCAAACCCAGCTTACAACAAATTCACTCCCTCCTTGTTCCCACAGAAATGTACATGCAGGCATATGACAGCCACACACTGTGAGGCATGAACTCATGAGGAAACTTACCTTTGTAGACGTTCAAAGTTATAGTTCTTACAGCAATTCTGACCATGCTTTCAGGATGATTAAAAAATTTGATGGCTTCTGTGTACAGGGCAAAGTCATTAGTGTGCTAAAACAGAAAAATAATCAGAAACAAGTTACGACCCCGTGCGAGGTGACTGCCGCCACCCCAGCTGTCTGAATTCTACCAGAGGCCAAAAACTGCTGCCCACAGGAAGCTGCCGCCGCAGTGCTGTTCCCGCCAAAGAAAGGCAAGTGGTGGGCAGCGTCACCAAACTTACAGTCTCCTGGCTAGTTCACATTTCTCTATTTGGAAATATCACAAACTTGAACATTTTCCAGGGAGAAAGAGGGTCCCAGAAATCTAATGACATTAAACAGGGAAAATTGAAACGGTTCAGAACCAGAGAAAAGCAAGGGCTGAGCTTCAGGAAAACGTCCCTCAGGGGCTGGGCCTAGAACTACAGGGAGTGCTCTGCTGCCCTCCTGAGGTCAATTTTTCCACAGCACCCGGGATGGGGAAGAGGAGAGGTGGGAGCTCTGAGGGCATGAAGGACAGAACTGTGTCTCCCCAAAACATGAATGGAGTCCTGGCCCCAGTACCTGTGGATGGGATCGCGTGTGGAAAGAGGGTTCCTCTTGTGTCATGTTGATGAGCTCTACCAGGTTAGGGTGGGCCTTAAACCTAATTACTTCTGGGTTACAAAATGAGCAGACAAGACACACAGACACGCACACACACATCACACATGCGGAAGACAGATGCCATGTGAGGGCCCATCTGCAAGCAAAGCAACGCCAGGAACTAGGAGAGAGGCCACAGGAGGAATGGACCCGGCTGACCCTGACTTGGACTTGAAGCCTTGAGCACTGTAAGGGAATCCATTTCTGTCCCTTAAACCAACCCCCTGGGCTATTTCTAGTACAGCAGCACTAGGTGACTGAGATTCTGGTTTGGGGGAAGTAGGGCTTGAGGTAACAAGCATTCAATGGGGACAATGCCACCTTGGCAATTAGAAGGATGCACTTCACAGTGTTAGCTTCTGTACTAGCCACGTTAAAAAGGAAAGGCAGCCCACCTCAAAAATGAGGCTCCTGGCACTCCACTGACAACAGCAAGATGTCCTTCCAGAGTATCTCTGGCCGGAGCCCCAGCACCCACCCTCTGCCAACACACAGAAGACCGGCCACAGTGAGTGGAGGGGGAAAAAAAACCAGGCATCACTCTCATCTACTTCACAGGAGGGGTTTCTCCCACCTGAGAGAGCCTTGGGAACAGTCACCCATCTGTTTCCTGGACACATGTGTTGAGCACCAACTATGTGCCAGGTACTGGGCCACATGACATTACTTTTAAAAACTGTCACACATTTTTGTGGCTAATATTTCTTCTCTTTGAGGACTGAATAAAATCAAAGTCCAGGTGTTGTTGCCATATCCTACAAGGGCAGCTGGATAGAGTGGGCACAGATTCAGAAAATGTGTGACAATACATGTAACTGCAGATACCACTGCCCAACCTAGGTGACCGTCAACCTGAAGAAGACGTCTGCCCGCTTGGCTGCGTGCTAGATGGCCTCTGAAAGAGCCCCAGAGGGCCTCACCTCTGTATCCACACACTATCATCCGCTCCCACACTGCATCAAGGCTGGCCTGTTGACAAAGGAATATGGTAGAAGAGAGATTGTGTGGCCTGTGAGGCTGGGTCAGGAGAGACAGCACAGCCTGCTGTGATCTCCTGGGTCACCCGCTCTGGGGAAAGCCTGTGCCATGCCGTGAGTCATGAGGCACACACACAGCCCCGTGGAAAGACCCGTGGTAAGAGGAACTGAGGCCTTCTGCCAACTGGCCAGCCAAGTGAGGGAACGACCGTGGGAGCAGATCCTTCAACCCCTATCCAGCCGGCCGGTGACTACACCTCCTATGAGGCCAAGCCAGGCCACTCCCAAATTCCTGACACACTAAGAGAAAAATGTAAGAAGTTCAGACCAGGGAGAGATCAGAGAAGTCTGCTGGGAGGCTGGGAAAGTTTCTTGGAAGTCAAAAAGGGGTACAGGAAGAGCAGTGAGCTGCTCAGGCTTTCTGGTGGTGGCAGGTGAGGATGTGAGGCTTGGAGCTGCTGTGGCCATTCTGAGGCCATGAGGAGCTGAGGCTGAGGAAGGCACCAACCATAGCCAGGAAAAACAGGAGCTAGAAGAGCCGGGGTCCTTGATGGCCGAGGGGGCCACAGGATGAACCAGGCCCAGGCCAGCTGGCATCTGCACTTTTTGGTATGTGAATAAACTGACCTCATTGTTCAAGTCCCTTTCACCTGTCTAGTGCACTCCAGGGTGAGAGCAGCCACCATTCATTTATTTACGTGGTTACCAATTCCCCCAAGAAGCACCAGGGACATGCGTGTGTGAAGGACAGCAGTGGCTACAGTGTAGGGAGCCACGTGCACACAAGATGCTTTAAGGACACCATCTCATGCCATTCAGTCACTGAGAAACCCGGCAGGGGATATACAGGGAACCCATGAGAGCCAGAACTCAATGGGGCTGCCTTGTTTTCCGGGTTTAGCAAGTTCTCTGCCTTTGACAGAATGCAGTCTCACCACTTTTCTATTGTTTGTTCTGGTGGGAAATATTGGGATTTTCCTTCTCTGACAGGTTTCTGCCTTACACAGGTTCCAGCTTCTGCAGGTTTTACTGTGTTGTTGTTGTTGTTATATGCCCTCAAGTGGGACCCGACTCATAGCGACCCCTCCTTGGGTTTCCGAGGCGGTATCAACTATGGAAGTAGATTGCCCAACCTTCCTTCCGAGGAGTAGCTGGTGGGTTTGAACCACTAGCCTTCTGGTTAGCAGTCAAGTGCCTTAGGCACGATGCTATTGTGTTAGTGTGTCCAACTTCCTGATGAGGAAGCGAAGGCTCAGAGAGGAGCTGGGAGTTCCCGAAGGTCACACAGCAGGGGAGCAGCAAAGCTGGCTCTGCCACAGGTTCCTCTTTTCCCACAGAACCATGCTATCCCAACACTACCCAAGGTCAGCTCCCAGGCGTTTCTCCTCCCTTCTGTCAGGGGCACAAACTGAACTTTACGTTAAAAATGGAGAGGTGATTCATTGAATTACAAAAAGAAATTAAGCCTGCCAAAGTCAAGTGGTGTTGCTGAGAGAAGCATGTGATGGCAAACGCGTGGTTGCTTCATCAACGGACACAGGCCACCTGGACCGAGTGCTGCTGTGACCGGCTAGCTTCACCCTGATGCGCCCCACCCCCCAGCAGGTACTCACCTCATTGTAAAAGAAATGGACAGTGTGGTTGTTGAGTTTTAACGAAAGCGTTTTCAGAAACGATATATAATATGCCATAATCTCCTCGTCGGAAAAGTCAAATTTATGGACGATGATAGAATTGACATAGTTATTGGAGAGTAGGTAATCTGGAAGGAGAAAAACCAGCAAAACAGACAGGTTAACTCATGCTACCAGTAAAGACGGGCAGAGAACATCGGGAAACAAGCAGACAACCATGTGAATGACCCAGAACCAAAGGAGCTCCTGATCGTTGGGACTGACAAGCTGACAAGAGTGCTGCCTTCCCTCTGCCCAGAAAGCAATCACCCACACAGAGCCACTGGACGTTCAAAGGCAAGCCACAGGAAGGCCCCACTCCCGACACACCAAACAGAAAAGACAGCGGAACGTTTTGGCTTCACTGTAGGGAACACGCAACACAGAATCGTGTGTGTGTGTGTGTTGTGTGTTGTGTTGTGTTGTGTTGTTTATAAACCACACCCACGTAATGCTAACAGCACCGGCGTTGTGGCTTCACTGTAGGGAACACGCAACACAGAATCGTGTGTGTGTGTGTGTGTGTTGTGTGTATGTGTGTTGTGTTGTGTTGTGTTGTTTATAAACCACACCCACGTAATGCTAACAGCACTGGCATTGTGGCTTCACTGTAGGGAACACACAACACAGAATCGTGTGTGTGTGTGTGTTGTGTTGTGTTGTTTATAAACCACACCCACGTAATGTTAACAGCACCGGCGTTGTGGCTTCACTGTAGGGAACACGCAACACAGAATCGTGTGTGTGTGTGTGTGTGTTGTGTTGTGTTGTTTATAAACCACACCCACGTAATGCTAACAGCACCGGCATTGTGGCTTCACTGCAGGGAACATGCAACACAGAACCGTGTGTGTGTATGTGTGTGTTGTGTTGTGTTTACAAACCACACACACGTGATGCTACCACCACCAGCAATCTCGAGAAAGCAGCCCCATTTTCCCAACAAAAACCACATCACCGCTGCTGAGTGGCAAAGAGGGCTGCACGTATAGCTGCCCGCCCGCCCGCCCTCCGTAGCAACATGGTGTCACACAGCCCTTACACTGAGCCCTGCTAAGGCCGGCCCTGGGCCAGGGGCTTCCCACCACAGTTCACTGTCATGACCACGCTGCAGCGCAGTTCTCACTCTGCCTGATTTGCAGGTAAGTAAACAAAGCTGTGTGCCTGATTAACTTGCCCAAAGGCACCGAGAAAGTAAGTGGCAGAGATGAAATTAGAACTCGGGTTTGATGTCACCAAGAAGTGTTGACAAGAAAAACTGGGTGGTGAGGGCCTTGGTCACTGGGGCTGACTGGAGAGCAGCCACCCCCAGTTCTCACCTCTGGGCCCTGGGGAAATGCAAGGCCAGCGGGGCAAGAGCTTTCACTGGGCAAGGGAGGCTGGGAAACAGCTCGATGCTGCGTCTGCTGATTTTGAAACATCGGCCACTAGATGAGCTGGTTTTTAAAACTGTGCTGGCCAACACAAACAGGCCGGCAGGGCGGCTACAACGGGGCTACAGTGCCATCCTGGGGGCAGGCCCTCACTGACCATGCTCTCCTGAGTCCTCACCAGCCACCCCACAAGAGCAGGCACTGCTGTCCCTACTGTCTGCCAGTCAGTGAGCTCTGCCCAGTGCCACCTACCTCCCCACAAGTGGTTAGAGGCAGAACAGGACAAACACCTGCACCTGGAGGCAGGGCCAGGAGGCTGCAGGTAGGCCAGAGGCCCCTAGTTCAAGTGTGGTCACCAGCAGGAAGTCGTGGCAACAGCTAGAGATGACTATAAGGCTAGGGCTCTGCCCTGCCCCACCAACCCAGGATCTCCAGACGTGCCCAGCCCTGCAGGGGCTCCACACCGGCATGAGTTTCAGAGGCCCTAGGTCAGAATAGCCTCTTCTGTCATCCATTTTGGTCTTTTCTTTTTTTCTCATCTTTTGAATGACCTCTTGCTTTCTTCATGAATGATGTTCTTGATGTCATCTCATAATTCTTCTGGTTTTCAGTCATTGGTGTTCAGTGCATTGAATCCATTCTTTACATGGTCTCTAAATTCAGTAGGATATATTCAAGGTCATATTTTGGCTCTCATGGACTTGTTTTAATTGTCTTCAACTTCAAGTTGAACTTGTATATGAGCAGTTGATGGTCTGTTCTTCAATCAGCTCCTGGCCTTGTTTTGGCTGAAGATACTGAGCTTTTCCATCGCCTCTTACCATAGATGTAGTCAATCTGAATCCCGTGTATTCTATCTGGTGAAGTCCATGTGTATAGCTGCTGTTGGTATTGTTGAAAAAAGGTATTTGCAATGAATAATTTGTTGGTCTTCCAAAATTCTGTCACGTGGTCTCCAGCATTATCTCTGTCACTAAGGCCAAATTTTCCAACTACGGGTGATTCTTCTTTATTTCCAACTTTTTCATTCCAATCATCAGTGATAATTAACACACATTGACTGCACATTAGGTCAATTTCAGACTGTAGAAGTTGATAAAATCTTCAATTTCCTCATCTTTTGCTTTGGTGGTTGGTGCATAAATTTGAATAATAGTCGTATTAACTGGTCTTCCTTGTAGATGTATGGATATTATCCTATTACTGACAGCATTGCACTTCAGGACAGATCTTGAAACATCTTTTGTGATGATGAATGCCATGCCATTCCTCTTCAAATTGTCATTCCCATCGTAGTAGATCATATGGTTGTCTCATTCAAAATGGCCAAAACTGGTCCATTTCAGCTCACTAATGCCTAGAATATCAATCTTTATGCATTCCATTTCATTTCTGACAACTTCCAATCTTCCTAGATTCATACTTCGTACATTCCACTCTGAAGCTTGCCCTTGAGTAGAGGGTAGCCAAAGCAAATGGAAGAAATGACAAGACAAACAAGCTGAACAGACTTCAAAGAGCAGGTCGAGCAGACAAAGCCAATTATTATAATGAAATGTGCAAAGACTTGGAGTTAGAAAACCAAAAGGGAAGAACACACTCAGCATTTCTCAAGCTGAAAGAACTGAGAAGAAACTTTAAGCCTCAAGTTGTAATATTGAAAGATTCTATGGGCAAAATATCGAATGACACAGAAAGCATCAAAACAAGATGGAAGTTATACACAGAGTCGCTGTACCAAAAAGAACTAGTAGATCTTCATCTATTTCAGGAGGTGGCATATGATCAAGAACCAATGGTACTGAAGGAAGAAGTTGAAGCTACATTGAAGGTAGTGGCGAAGAACAGGGCTCCAGGAATTGATGGAATACCCATTGAGATGTTTCAACAAATGGATGCCCCACTGGAGGCACTCACTCAGTTATGCCAAGAGATGTGGAAGACAGCTATCCAGCCAACTGACTGGAACAGATCCATATTTGTACCCATTTCAAAGAAACATGACCCCACAGAATGTGGAAATTATCAAACAATATCATTAATATCACATGCAAGTAAAATCTTACTGAAGATAATTCAAAAACGGTTGCAGCAGTATACTGACAGAGAACTTCCAGAGGTACAAGGCAGATTCAGAAAAGGACAAGGAACGAGGGATATCATTGCGGAGTCAGATGGATCTTGGCTCAGAGCAAAGAATTCTAGAAAGATGTTTACTTGTGTTTTATTGACTATGCAAAAGCCTTTGATTGTGTCCATCATAACAAATTGTGGATAACAATGAGAAGAATGGGAATTCCAGAACACTTAACTGTACTCATGAGGAACCTGTACATAGAGCAGGAGGCTGTTGTTCGAACAAAACAAGGGGACACTGAATGGTTTAAAATCAAGAAGGGAGTGCGTCAGGGTTGTATCCTTTCACCAAACCTAGAGCAAATAATCTGAGAAACTGGACTATGTGAAGAACATGGTATCAAGATTGGAGGAGAAATCATTAACAACCTGCAATACACTGATGACATAACTTTGCTTGCTGAAAGTAAGGATGACTTGAAGCACTTACTGATGAAGACTGAAGAATACAGTCTGCAGTATGGATTACATCTCAATATAAAGAAGACAAAAATCCTCACAACTGGACCTATAAGTGGCATCACGATAAATGGAGAGAAGATTGAGGTTGTCAGAGACTTCACATTGCTTGGTTCTACAATCGACACCAATGGAAGCAGCAGTCTGGACATCAGATGATATATAGCACTGGGCAAGTCGGCTGCAAAAGACCTCTTTTGAGTGCTGAGGAGCAAAGATGTCTCCTTGAGGACTAGGGTGCATGCCTGACACAAGCCATGATATTTTCAATTACCTCATATGCATGTGAGAGCCGGACAATGAATAAGGAAGACAGAAGAAAAAGTGATGCTTTTGAGTTGTGGTGCTGGCAAAGAATGCTGAAGGTACCATGGACTGCTAAAAGAACTTACAAATCTGTCCTGGAAGAAGTGCAGCCAGAATGCTCCTTAGAAGTGAGAATGGCAGACTTCATCTCACCTACTTTGGTCATGTTCTCAGAAGGGACCATTCCCTGGAGAAGGATGTCATGCTTGGTTAAGGTGGAGGGGTGACGAAAGAGGGTAAGACCCTCAACGAGATGGACTGACACAGTGGCTGCAGCAACTGGCTCAAGTATAGCAGGGATCACAGAGCTGGCACAGGACGGGGCGCCGTTTCGTTCTGCTGTGCATGGGGTCGCTATGAGTTGAAGACGACGCGATGGCACCTAACAACAACTGGTCAGAAAGAGACCACGAAACCACCCTGTGTCCCAACCTCATCTCCGACACTCACTGACTATGTGACCCAGGGGGGATGGGGTGCACCCACGCCTCAGCTTCCTGTCTGGGAAGTAGACTAAGCGTCCTTCATCTGTGAGGACTGGCAGAGATGATGGGTCAGACGTGCAAAGGCAACAGCGGGCACGCGGGAAGCACTCAGTGTTAGGAAGTAGACTAAGCGTCCTTCGTCTGTGAGGAGTGGCAGAGATGACGGGTCAGACGTGCAAAGGCAGCAGTGGGCACACAGGAAGCACTCAGTGTTAGGTGCCATCTTTATTTTACTATTATTTGAAGATTTATCACCTCCACCGCCATATTCCTAGACTAAGACTTAGATGAGTAGGAATAAACCCTTAAGTTATTTGGAGCCAAAGACACACGCACTAGAAGCCAAAGCCGTGTGGAATCTCCAGAAACACCTCAGAGGTCTGGCACCCAGGAGCAGGGAGATGACACAGCACTTGGGGAGGCCCACTGCATTCATGCTCTGAGCAGGCTCTGCAGACAGGCCTTGAAGTCTAGTCTGAGATGCGGGTTCAAAATTTCCCGAATGTAACCATTCCTGCAGACATGATAAATGCAGATAGATCATGGGGCCCACTCCAAGAGCCGGTGGGTTGGGGAGGTATCCCAAGAACCTTAATGTTTTTCAAGTGAGGTTATATATATATATTATAAACGAGCTCTGGTGTCGCGGTGCCTAAGGCATGTGACCACTAAGCAGAAGGTTCGTGGTTCAAACCCATCAATTGCTCTACAGAAGGAAGATGAGGCAATCGATTTCCACAAAGATTTACCACCTCGAAAATCCAATGGGAGTTGCTCTGAGTCGGAATCAACTTGATGGCAGTGGGTTTTTAATATATATATATATTATAAATCATAAGTGTAAGGTTGATATATGTGAAAATATGCATATAACTTAAGCATGTACTTAAAATACACAAACACACACACAGACACACAGCTCTCCTATGAATCTCAAGTGTTTCTGATTTGGCGAATTCTCCTGTCCACATGTCAGGCCCACTGAGAACAGACACAGTCTGTTCCCAGCTCCCTTGAGCCCTGCCCAGTCAACCTCCCCCTCTAAAGGCAGCTCCATCCTGACTGCACCAAGAGTCACTCAGCCTGCCCTTGAACCTCACAGACGCAGTCATGGGACACGCTTGCTTCTCAGGCAGCCTGCACTGCTCAATACTATGTCTGACAGCTATCCCTGTGGCTGTGGTTGGTGGCAGTTCATTCCTTTTGTTTTTTTGCTATGTAGTATTCCATTTTTTGAATCACTCACAATTTATTTATCCACCTAGAATCTTAACTGGTAACAAGCAGCCCAGGCGATCCTGGTGTCCCGAGCACATTTTCCCTGTTCTATGCCATCTGGGCTGTGGCTGGGAACAAATGGGCCAACAGGGGGGACCAGTGGGATGCTTTGTTGAGCCCGGCTACGACTGGCAAGTGGTTTCTGTGCCACCAGAGACACATGCCTAGGCTGGCTGGTGCAGCTGTGGGCCTGCAAGCACACACCCCCAGCTGCACTGAGGCTGCAGCAGCCCAGGCTCCATCCACTCCCCAGCAGGGACTTTTCCAGGGCCTCCCAGAGAGGCCTCTGTGGGCGGTGGGAGCGCCCTGGGGGTGGCAGAGGTGCCTCTAGTTTTCGACTGGGATTTTTCTTCTACCCCCTCACTGTGTGACTGACTTCCTGTGGTGGCCTTTTGTAATAAACCCAGGAGTCTGAAAGTAACCTCAGTCTCTTGGGCCTTCTGTCACTTAGGTCACCAAATCCAACAAACACCAGGTGCAATCATGAAAAGACGGCTTGTAACAGTGAAGAGCTGGAAACCACCTAAATGCCCATCGGTGGGGCTACAGAGTTACAGGACAGCAGATGCAGCTCTTAACCAGACTAGGCAGCGACCCACGAGCAGACAACAAAAAGCACTAAGAAACAGGTAAGGATAAAAGCAAGCAAGCTGCCCAGACACACCTGCACACTATACTGTTACCGTGACAATGGCGGAGACTTTTACTTTCGTTATTTTTGTAGTGTTTGATTTGTTTTGTTCTTTTTCTTACACTAAGTACATTTTTTCTCAATGATGAGAAAATGAAAATAAAAACAATTGTTACCTGTCTTGTAAATCCAAGTCCTGTGCACAGTTGGTGCCTGCTGCTGCATCTGCAGAGCCTACAAAGTGCTCTGGGGAGTCCTTCATGAAGCTGGTGGGTCTGCCTATGTACCTTGTGTAGGGCACAGCTTTCAGGCCAGGACAAGACTAGTCACACGATATAGAAAATACTCTGAAAGCCACTGCTGGTCACCTCAGCCCCCACCTTAGTCCAGTAGCCCTGAGTCTTGCTGGGCTCAGAAAAGGTTCCCAGAGAGAGCAGACGCCCTGGGACAACACTGGATTTGAACTCTAGTAATCAGCACTAGCAGACATTGCCACCTGCCGGGCCCAGTGCCAAGCTCTGCACATGCACTATGACACGGAATCCTCAGACAAGGCTGCCCCACGGGTACCAGTCTGTCCCCACGGGTACCAGTCTGTCCCCACGGGTACCAGTCTGTTCTTCACTTCACAGATGCAGAAACAGCAGCCTGGAGAGTCAACTCCCCAAGAGCACATGCGGGAGCACACGCAGGACCAGGCTGTGGACCTGGTCTAGTCTGTTTTCAGAAACCACATTCACTTCCCAGCAGAACAGAAGCTGCTGACCAAGGAGAACCATTCAGGGAGAGATGGTTCATGGGCAGGCACTGTGAGTGCCTCGGACTGCAGCGCCATCTAGTGGGTGCTTCCAGGAGCCACAATTCTGCAGCTCTTGCCTCCTGGCCCGCCTGCCCCCAGGACCGCCCACCAGAATCTTTAATTCACACCTATCTTGTGTGTGGACCACTTGTCTTCTCTCCCCTTCTCCTGGGCAGGGCTTGGAGCCTACGTTAGTAATCTTGGAATAAGGTAGTAGTCAAGCATGAGGATTAGGAGCTAACCCAGAGTTGTTCAACCTCAGCACTACTGACATTTTGGGCTAGAAAATTCTTTGGGGGAGGGGCTATCCTGTGTATCATAGGAAGTTTAGCAGTATCTCTGACCTCTCCTCACCAGATGCCAGTAGCACCCCCTTCACTTCACTCCACACATGCTACATGCCCCCAGCCAGCACCACTGTCCCTGGGTAGAGAACCATTGAGCTACACTCACTGGAACTGAAACTCTTTGTCTTTTCTGGTCTTGCACGTGACCGGGGGCATGACCTAGATGCAGTGTTAAAACAAAGGTCCAACAGCACCTGCCTCTCAGGGCAGTGGTTACTGATAAAGAAAAAGGGGCTTAGGGAGGGCAGATCATACGCTCAAGTCACACCCTTGGGAGGAACTGTAAAATGACACAACCACTGTGGATATCGGTATTGAGATTCCTTAAAAAGTTGGAAATAGAAATACTGTTTGATCCAGCAATCCCATTACTAAGTATATATCCTAAAGAAGTAAGAGCCAGGACATGAATAGATATATGCACCCCCACGTTCACTGCAGCACTATTCACAATAGCAAAGAGACAGACACAACTGAAGTGCTCATCAACGGAAGAATGATAACCAAATTGTGGTCCATACGCAGAATGGAATACTGTGCAACACTAAAGAATAATGGGGAATCCGTGAAACACCACAGAATGTGCATGAACTTGGAGGACATCATGATGAGTGAAATGAGTCAATCACAGAAGGACAAACACTGTATGAGTCCACTATTGTAAAAAGTCAAGGAAAGGTTTATATATGGAATGTAATTTTCTTTGTTGGTTACCAGGGAAGGGAGGGGAGGGGAAATTCCTAGATAGGCAAAAAAATAAATATATATACATATATATAAATATATATATATGTACGTGTGTGTGTATACACACACATACACACACACAAAAGCTTATTAGTGGCTACCAGGAATAGGAGGAAGGAGGGGAAGCTTTTGTTGGCGGGGCACTGAGTTCGTGCTAATGGTGGTGAAATATTTTGGAAAAGCACAGCAATAATGGTGGCTCATCATGAAAAATGTCATCAGTGTCCCTGAGCTGTGAATGGAGAAGCTGTTACGCTGGCAGATGCCCCAGTGAAAGTAAGAAGAAAGAACGCGTCCTTACAGAGCGAGGTCTCGTGACTGATGTTCTCAAAGAGGATGTTCAAGGTCTGTAGCAGCTGCACACACACGTAGCGACCCGACCTCTGCCGCAGGATGTTCAAGAAGAAAACAAACATGTTCTTCTCCAGGAAGAAGCTGGGGAGAGAACAGGGGAGAGTCAGGGGCTTGCTTTCTGCAGGTGGCATGTGGCAATCCATCCTCTGCTTATGTCCAGGGCACATGCAGACCCCGCCCCCCGGAAGCCCCGAGAGCAGCAGACCACTCTCCCTGCACGCCCTCAGCCTCCACACTCCAGGCCCACTCCTCCTACAGCACTTCGTTTTACCGAGCTTCACATGCTCTTTTACAAATTGAAGGTTGGTGGCAACCTGGCGCCAAGCAAGTTCATCAGCGCCATTTTTCCAACTGCGTGTGCCCACTCTGCGTCTGTGTCCCACTCTGATCATTCTCACAATGTCTCCCACTTCTTCCTCCTGCTGTTGCTCACTTCATGGACTACAATACAGCATCAATGTGACTTTTATAGGCACTAGGAAACCAAAAGATCCATGGGGCTTGCTTTACTGCCACAATCACTTTATTGAGGTGGTCTGGAACCAAACCCACAACACCTCTGAGGCGTGCCTGCATTCAGTTCCCACAATGGGACTAAAATGCATGACTAACACGCATTCCAAGTTCTCTTCCAAGGACACAGAACAGTGCTGACCCTGGGAAGCACTGAAATAGCTTTCTGACAGAATGAGAAAGACCTTCTCACCTACTACATGATCGCACATGTGTCTATATAACCTTGACAGGCAGGATTTTTCCACCAAAGATTATTTCCTTAGCTTTCATTATTGTTATGGGAACTGTGTTCCCAAAAATCTCCTTTAAAGTCCTGACTCCTAATACTTGTGTCTGACTGTGTTTGGAAGTGGGATCTCTGAAGACATAATCAAGTAAAGATGAGGTCATACCAGATCAAGGGGGGCCCCAGTCCAATACGATTGGTGTCCTCATAAGAAGAGGAAAGACGGAGACACACACAGCACAGGAGGCTGTATGAAGACAGAGGCAGACTGGAGTGATGCATCTACAAGCCAAGGATCGCTGGCAACACCAGAAGCTAAGAAAAAGGCTTCAAACAGATTTTCCCCTAGAGGCTTCTGAGAACACGGTCCTGCCCATACCTTGATTTCAGGCTTCTGACCTCCAGAGCAGTGAGAAAGGAAATGTCTGCTGTTACCATATTCTTCCCTTCACGTAAAGAACACACAGAGGCATAGCCTGCATAGGAAACTAAGGCGCAAGGAGATTGCGCACTTTGCAAAATGTATAAAGTGCATGTTATTTGCATAGAAATAGGGTATATGCCACCCAGTTCGTAATGGCAGCCACAGGAAATGAATATACTTACTAGCTTCTTAGCTTCAGTATTCTTATCTTTGAAAGTTTAAAAACAAAAACAGAAACAAAGAGAGACCAATTGCCACAGAGTCTATTGCGACTCATAGCAACCCTACAGGACAGAGGAGAACTGCTCCGCAGGATTTACAAGGCTGTCGATCTTTACAGATGCAGAGGGCCTCATCTTTCTCCTGCAGGGCAGCTGGTGGGTTTGAAACCATCAACCTGTTGGTTCGCAGTTGAATGCTTTAAGCACTATGCCACCACAGCTCCTTAAAAACAAAACAACAAACTGGAATTCCCTGCAAAAGGGTGAGATAATGGGGAACGGTAAGAGTCTGGTTTCCAAACTGCCAAGTCTGTGGTTTCCACAGATAGGGAAAAAGACCTGAGAGGACATAGAGGGGCACCAGCATGGTGGTGGGACACCAGCATCCAGGGGTGCTAGTACCCCTCTTGTTCTGGATGGAGCACCTGTCTGCCTACAGCATGGGCGGCCCTAGCTTTTTGGGGTACACGCTGCTTCTTCTCATCCTGAAAAAGAAACAAAGCCCTTCTTTAAAGGAGGAAGACACCGTTTCCAGTCAGGTGTTCTCTGTATTCAGGCTCAGATCATAAACCTCCTTTCTGGAGACTCAGAGGAACCCGAGATCCTTGGCTTGGCATCTCTCTCCCCTCGCCTGTCAGCCCCCCAGGGGCAGGATCCTGGGTCTGGCACTTGCCCAGTGCTGCACAGTTTCTCCTTGAATCCACGCGAGGTGAACGAATGAATAAATATGACCTAGAAAAGATCCCTAAACTCCTTTCCACCTCTGATTCTGCGAGCCGGTTTGCTGCAATGCTGTTCGAATTAAACCTGGCTTATCTGTAACATTTGGCCTATTTTAGCTTCTCCACTTCAGGAAAGGAGCCCTGGTGGCACAATGGTTAAATGCTCACTGCTAACAGAAAGGTCAGCAGTTCGAACCTACCAACTGCTCCACAGCAGAAAGATGTGGCAGCCCATTTTCATAAAGATGACAGCCTTAGAAAGGAACAGTTCTACTCTGTCCTATAAGGTCACGATGAGTTGCAATTGACTCAACAGCAATGGGTTTGATTTGGTTTGGTGCTCCCTTCAGGGTGAGTCCGTGGCCCTCAAGTGTCGCCCACCAAACCCACTGCAGCCCAGTGGCTGAGGGAAGTTGCTAAAATGCTGATTTTTCCAGCAGATTTTCCAGACCTGGCCCCCAGAGGTTGACGCAATAGGTCTAGCATGAAACCCAGGAAATTGGATTTTTAAAAACTCCTTAGGGAAGTAGGGGCTCCTTAGAAAAATGGCTGATTCTGGCTTTGGGGTAAGGAAAATACAAGATGAGCCCAGAATGTCCTGTAGTACCAGGAAGGAAGTACTTAAACAACGAAAGGATGGGGACATGTTACAAGGACACAGAGCCAATATGAAAGAGTTCCCAATGGCCAAAGCTGGAACGATGTGAACAAGAAAATACATAATGTAAAAACAGATTGCTGTTGTTGCTATTGTGTGCCGTCAAGTCGGATCCGACTCATAACAACCCCTCCTTGGGTTTCCAAGGTGATATCACTACGGAAGTGGATTGCCCAACCTTCCTTCTGAGGAATGGCTGGTGGGTTTGAACAGCCAGCTTTCTGGTTAGCAGTCAAGTGCTGTGGTAGTTCAGTTTGTGTGTCAACTTGGCTGGGGTTGGTTGAGTGGCTGGGCAGCTGGATGTAGTATTCCCCATGATGAGACTAGTAATCAACTCAATGGTGCAATCTACTGTGAGGAGCTGAGTAGCTGCCGTAGGAAACACGGTCCACTTCCCGTATATAAGCAGAATCCTTGAGGAATGGTCTCTAGCTTATGGCACACTTGGACCCTGCATATAGCTGTGTTGTTGTTCAGCAGCCTGCCATGCTCTGCTGATCTGGGGACTTAAAATGGACTTGAATTAATGGCCTGCCGTGTGGTCTGCTAACATCAAGACTGTGCCTTTTTACTTGTCAACCTTGAGCTTGGCAGCCTCATCAGCCAGCAGCTGTCTGAGTGAAGAAAAGCCTCTAGCTTCAGTGGGCTGGGAGCTGGAGGCAGGGCTGAAGCCCAAGGCTGAGGGGCTTTCACCCAGTCCCTAGAGCTTGGCACTTTGAACTTGGACATAAAGCCTCTAAATTGTAAGAATAAACCACTCCTGCTTGTTTAAGCCATCCCATTTGTGGTATATTCTTGTCAGAGTGGTACTAGGTAACCAGAACAAGTGCCTTAGGCACTACGCTACCAGAGCTCCCAAAAACAGATTATAATCCCAAAAATAAAATAAATCTCCATGAGTTCATACTGATAGGAATCAATGACTGAATACATAAGTAAGTGGGAGAGAAGAGAGAGACACATCATCCAAGCAGAAGTCCCACCAACATAACGCAGATTCTCCTCCCTCCAGGAGGTGAGGCTCACTTTCACCTGCACCCCACTCTCCTGAAGGCGGGCTATACTTATGTGACCCACTGTCAAAGTACAACGTAGGACAAGACAAGCAACTACAGTGGAAAAACGTGGCAACCAGTGCCTTTGCCAAATGACTGAGTCCACATCACAGTGACGGCATGTGGACACCATGTACCCCCTGCTGGGATGTGACAGGAACACCCTCCACCTCTGTGGTCCTCTTCTCTAAAACTCATAAGCCAGTGTCATCATGAGTAAAACACCAGACAAAACCCAGATGGGGGGCATTCTACAAGAGACCCGGCCAGCATGTCTCAAAGCTGTCAGGGTCCTGGAACACAGGGAAACCATCACAGACCAGGGGAGACCTAACAAGTAAAGGCAACGTGACACTTGGGATTTTGGGACAGAAAGAGGAAAAGAGTGGAGGCACCGGTGAAATCCAGTTACAGTCTGGAGTTTGCCTGGTAGTGATGCACCCATGTTGATTCCTGAGTTGTGACAGATACACGTGGTGACGGAAGATGTGAACGTCAGGGAAAACCGGAGGAGGGGGCCACGGGAACTCTGTACCACCTGTGCAACTTTTCTATAAATCTACAATGACTCCAAAATAGAAAGTTTATTAAAAACCAACCCTCTTGGGTATTCTGCTAGGTGGCCATTTAGAAACCACTGACCTGTAAGAGGGAGCTCTGGTAGCACAGTGCCTAGGGCACTTGATTGCTAATAAGAAGGCTGGCGGTTCAAACCCACCAGCCACTCCTCAGAAGGCAGATTGGGCAATCTACTTCCGTAGAGATACCCCCTCTGAAACCCAAGGAGGGGTCTCTATGAGTTGGAAACAACTTGACGGCAGTGAGTTTGGTTTTTTCTTTCCTTTGACCTGTAAGAGTTCCAGCAGTTTCTCTAAGGTGACAGAGGGACTAAGAAAGTCCATGCTAATAAAGAGTACGTATCTTCAGATCACTTCCGCCAGGGTCCTTCTTGTTTCCCAAAACAGGACCAAAAAACATTTTTAAAAAAAATTCCCCCACAGAACCCTAAAGAAACCTAGTGCCATTTGTAAGCAACAGCCTCACTTTGTTACCTAGGTTTTCCCTTGAGGATCATGGCTACTGTCACAGAAGGTCTGTTATTTCAAGGACGTTGCACTTTCCACCAGTAGCTTTATCTAGATACCCGTACTAATGAAAATAGAAAGCTGATCCTAAAATTCAGATAGCCTACAAGTGGCTAAGGTGGAAAAT